CAGAGATTGAATCTCATTGGCCCAGAGTCTGGCAGATCCCTTTAAAAGGGGATACTGCCCGACCATTCTCCAGCCGGATGTTTACTTGACTTGCAATAAAGAGCTGTTGTTTACTGAAGCCTTTTGTGCCTCCTTTATCCGATCTAACATTTATAATCATAGATTAGAAGTAATTCAGACTTTGATAGCTTTGACTATTGAAAATATTTATATGCTACCAACAGGACTGCCTTTTGGCTCTGGTGGCTTTTATATTTGACCAGTAAGTCTCTTCCCAATCATCTAGAATGACATCAGAGATTCTGTTTCAGGTTCTCCCTCCCCCTACAGCTGTACTGCATTATTATGGGCTGCATTTCCTGAGGAAATTTTAGTGACATGATTATAAAATTATAGCCAGTCAAATTAAATTGTGGGAAAGTTGGGAAGGCAAATGAGGTTGTATAATGCTTTTATTTTGTGGTAATTAGTGTGAAAGAGTACTGCTGTTCTGCAATTGTTCCTCAGTTGCAATGGATTAAAACAATATGTAAATGATTATGTATATTTTGCTGGCTCTATATTATTTTGCTGGCTTTAAAAAAAGTTTGATATTCAACCATCATCATCACCAAGTAAATGAAGTTTTAAAAACTCTAGCAGAGTTAACCATATTTCTTGCATTCGAATATAACATCTATGATCAGTTTTGCTAGTTCAGATCAAAGTTCTACATCACCTAACATTCAGTGGTCAAAAATATACTCTCATGCAAGACAATATGCTATAGAACAATTCCACTTGCATTCTCCAGTAACTAACATTCAGAACAGAGGTAGTATTCTGCAGGTTCTGACCAGTTCTGGAGAACCACTGGCAGAAATTTTGAGTAGTTTGGAGAACCAGTAAATATCACCTCTGACTGATCCTGCTCCCATTTATGCTCTGCCTCCCGAGTCCCAGCTGATCGGGAGGAAATGAGGATTTTGCAATAACCTTTCCTTGGAATGGAGTGGGAATTGAGATTTTACAGTAGCCCACCCAGCCACGCCCCCAGAACAGGTAGTAAAAAAATTTGAATCCCACCACTGATTCAGAAGCATACTTCCTCCCATCCTGGAATTGAGTTACAGCCATCATTTCTAGAAGCTATTTTATCCCCTCATCTTTTAAAACCATCCTGATTAATAACTGCAATTATATCTGTTGTATATGAACTACATAATTTAACAAAATACCATGTAGGGAATCTGTTTATTTTTATTGGATCTGAAATGTCTACATATCAGCTTGTAGATATTAATCATCCTTAGGTTTTATAAATAAAACAATAAAATAAATAAAACAAACCTAACCTTGTAGTTTTCAGAAGAATCTGATGGGCCATAGTTAGAAACAGAACACAGATTTAATAGAATATTGGCCTCTTCCAACAGAGCTGTCTATGGTTTTAAGGAAATTTCTACAATTTTTGCACCCCTAAATAAGGTAGGCATTTCAATTCCTCCTTTATTAAATAACCAAAATAATGGAAAGCAGACCAGTAATTCACAAAGGGACTGCTGCTGCTTCCTACTCACTGTGGAATGTTTCTAAAAGCCATTACTGATTTAAAATAGCTCACTAAACCTGTAATTATATTGCTCAAGCAAGTTATCAGCCCACGGAACTAGCATAACATCAGAAGAGCAACTGTGTGCAAGAGGCAGGATCTTCTTTTTTAATCAAGAGAATTACATATTAACCAAGAAAATTACAAAGTATGTGAAGCTGCTTTGTTATGAATTAAAGCATCTTTATAGATCGGATGTATACATTTATACAAATGACTGATAAGAACTATAACTGTTGGATTGCAGTCTGTTAACATGAAAGAAATTCCTGAAAATGTGGTCACAGAAATATCAGCTTGTGATTTTTGATTGTCAGTTAGGATTAAAAAGTTCACCTGGAAGTTAAACCTAAATTCCATCATTTGGAGGGGGGGGAGGCAGATTCTGTGGTGATTTGGAGCAAACTCTTCATAACGTGAGCATAAACACTTAATGATCATCTCATAATTTGCATGTTAGGCAGGTAATTATGTCTTTTAAACAAAAGTAAGAGAGAAGTATGGTTTTAGGTCATATAACCTTAGCCTGTTCAACCTATAAAGCCCTATTCCAACATAGGGACCTTGGGAAACATCCATGATGACATTTGGGTGCGCAGGTCTGAGCAGTTTCTTTAGCAAGGTAAAACCAAGGTCCTCCATCGCAGATCTAAGATTTAATCCATAAAATGACTTTTTATTTTGTTTATGACCGCCAACATACCACCACTCAAACTGGGTAACACATTTTATATTCTCTCCTTGTTAAGCACACAACCGAGAGCAAGAGAGTCATTTAGAACATGTTTTATGCAACCAACATTTTTGCCCATTGAAAGTTTCCTTTCCCTAGGTTGTTCCTATCCACAAGGGGCTGACACGAGATACATCAAGCCTACCGAGATGTAGTAAAATTTAAAAACAATTCCACACTATGGAGGGCAGATCCGGTATCTTTAAAAAAAGTTGAAAATATTTGCAACAATTTCCCAAATATTTTTATTAGCCCTACTTGTTTTCAAAGCAGGGTAGTTTCTTTTAAAATAGGTAATTCACTTCTGAGGGACCATCACCTCCTAAATTGTATTAATATGCCTATTAATAATAGCAGAAAAGCTTTTGCTCCTGTCTCTTCATGTTGAGACATATTAACCTCTTTCTTCATCTCAGATTCTTTCCTGTCACAGAAGCTTTCTTTCCCATAAAATCTAATGCATAATGCATGCCTGGTAATCTCTCATTGTCCCAGGAAACTATAAACAGGAATTAGATTTCAGTCAGGCATGAATGGAGAAACACACAGGTTCCTTGCAGGTTATGTTCTCCAACTCTGGCAAGCAGACTTTCCCTTCCTCCAAATCAGAAGTATAGCAGAGAGGCTTAAAATACTCCAGAAATACCTTGCAAAGGCGAAATCAATGGAAATGCTGGCATCAGTTGTCTGAGAAGATCTGGAATCAGTGCTTAGGACTAGAAAGGTTTTATATTTCTTTTTCTTGACTGGTTTCTGGCAATGTTTCTGGGAGAAAATAACTACAGGTAATCCTCAACTTACAACCACAACGGAACCCAAAATTCATGCTGCTAATTGAGAAATTTATTGAGTTTTGCCCCATTTTATGACTTTTCTTGCCACATTTGTTAAGTGAATCACTGCAGTTGTTAAATTAGAAACACGGTTGTTAAGGGAATCTGACTTCCGCACTGACTTTGTCAGGTCGCAAAAGGGAATTACAGGACTGTGGGTCACTGCAACCGTCCTAAATAGAAGTCAGTTGTCAAGCATCTGAATGTAAATCATGTGACCGTGGGGATGCTGAAATGGTCATAAGTGTGAAAAATGGTCATGTCACTTTTTTTCAGTACCGTTCACTTAGCGAACTGTTGCAAACCAAGGATTACCTATAGTTGCCTCTTCTCCTGCTCTGTTTCTTCCTCTCTCAACTTGTGTGTTTCTCTAGTTCTGACCTTTTATTTGGCCAGCCAAGATGGCACATCTATTTGAGGTGAGCAGCCTTTATCTGCGATCTTTCCTTGTGAGGTGGATTAGCTTCTTCAAGCTCTAACTGGTCCAGTTACCTTTCCTCTACTGGGCAATGGCAAGGTGGAGTGGGTAGGTTTCATCAGATAGTTGATACAATTTCCTATAATAGCAGCTTGTTTTGGGGGTTCCCCAATTGCGTTCCAGGGATTAACAGGGCAGTTTGAACTTCTATCAATTTAATGCAAGTGGTTTATAACCATAGTGGGAGAAGAGATGGGATATTACAGCTGGCTGGCTGGGATGTTGAAACCCAGAATATGTCAACTGGAAAATCTCCTTTTATACAGAGTGAGAGTTTGTGGTGTACATGCAGGTGCTTTCAGGCATTCTCTCAAGCAAACAAGTTGTGAAAGCTGATGATTAGTGTGCATGATTCAAAGCTTAGAACACTCTATACCAGTGTTTCTCAACCTTGGCAACTTGAAGATGTCTGGACTTCAACTCCCAGAATTCCCCAGCCAGCGAATGCTGGCTGGGGAATTCTGGGAGTTGAAGTCCAGACATCTTCAAGTTGCCAAGGTTGAGAAACACTGCTCTATACTACGTGGATGCAATGTTGTTCATACATTTCAAGTCTTAGTAACGCTTTCCCAAAGCATCTACCATAATTTGTTCATCTTTAAGATGTTGTGGTTTTTTCCCTCAGCTTATCAAACTAAACAGAAGCACAACTCGTTTGAAGGGCAAAGCTTGCCAGCAGGTTAACCTGACACTAAAATCAGGCTGGAAAGCCTTCCACGACCTAATAATTCAGGTCCAGAAAATCACCCGTGGCTGCAAGTCGTCCTATAAAATTCTCCATTGGGCGGGGTGAAGGGGGGGGGGGAAGAAACTACACGCACTGCAATTTACTTTCCACTTAGATTTTGAGATACGACCAGCTTTTTCTATTACAGGTTCCAACTAAGGTTTGGCTCTCCTTGAAACTCCGCTCAAACGTGCTTTTTTCCTTTCCACTTCGGCGTCGAGGAGAGCAGAACGCCTGGTGGCGGGTCAGGCTTCGTCCCTGCGGAAGGCGCGAGAGAGAGAAAGAAAGAGAAAAGACGAGGAAGGAGCACATTTTACTCGGGCGCCACACCGACAACTCCCTCGGGAAGTTAAAAGGCGTCGCTCGTTCCCTCCGGATCGCTCCGGCATTCGGCGTCAAAGAAGAACCGAGCCTCCCGCCATCCACTCCTCCCACCCCAGAAATCCTGCTCCGCTTTCACCGCCTCCTTCTTTCACACCGGCTCCGAGCGACCAGGAGCCAAAGGCAGGCTCTCTGAGAGAGCCTCACACCCAAAGAAGGCGCAGGCACGCCCACACCGAGGAACGCCGCCGCTGGCCAGGCTCGCAGCCGTCCTTTCTTCCTCCGTGACGGGAGCGCGCCGGCGCGCACGCACAGAGAAGCGTATATATAGATCCAGGGAGCAGCCGACCCTCTCCCCCTCCTCTCAACCGCCACCCGGAGAGGGAGAAGCGTTTCCGTGTCGGCTCAGGCGCGGATACTCTCCACCCGCGAGGAAGCCTTGCCCTAAACCGGCCGGTCGCAGACAGCGGCTGTGCTGGCGTCGCTGGCATCTTGCATGCCAAGGCTTTGAGGTCACCCTCCTATGCGGGAAGCCTGTTGCCGCAGAGGCAGCTACAGCTGGAGAGCCTCCGGGAAAAGGGACCTGAGGGGTCCCGCGGTGCCTCTTCCTCTAGGGAGCTTGTCCGGGCACCCAATGCTGCTGCTGCTGCTGGTGGCCCTGCCCTTCGTTTGGGCCCCCGGACTGGCCCACGGCTGGGAGGTAAGCACATCCCTCATCGCGGGAGTGGGTGGGCTGCTCCGCGTGGGGCGGGGCGAGGTGAGTAGCGGCCAGGAATTAATTTGTGACAAAAACAAACGAGACCCACGGATGCGTGCAGGACTAAGACGGTGTTGACCTGGTTAAATGCGTGTGCAAATGCAACCATTCGGTCTTAACGCAAGACTGCAAAAAGAGACGGGAGGCAGACTGTACTCAAGTTCCTGAACAAGCCTTCCCCAACGTGGTGCCCTCCAAAGGACTGGATGGCGGTATTAATCCAGCCAGTCCAGTTGCTGGACGTTCCGTTTGAAAGGGGGGGGGTAGTGAGAACTGCAAAACTGCACCCCACCATCCTCTTAAGTTGTTGAAGGAAGCTGGTAATAAAGTTCTCTGCATTACCCTTGCTCACAATTTTCCTCAGAAAACTTGCTTTGCTTATTCAAAGATTCACAGGGCTGCTTAGGTATGGTTTGGATTGAAAACTATGGTTTATAATTTAGCACGCTGCAGTGTGTGGGCTCGGATATTTTGATCAAAACTATGGGGAGCTGCCTGCTGAATCTTAAGAAGATACTACCATGAGTTGTACTATATTAACCTTTCTCACTTCATCTGATAATTTTCTGGCCACCTTGTGTAGCTTCCTTAATGTTTTTATCTGAAGTTGATAAACTGTAATCCAACAGAGGCACAACTCTGTGACTTTGTTGCAGAGAAGACTTTTCATGCTGTTTTCTTTTGGGGTAAACAACTTATGCAGAGTCCAAGAAAAGAGTAAGACAAAGATAATATACCAATGAGATTAGAAAACAAAAGCAAGCATAAAAAACTACGCTGACACTTTTTTTTTCCTGGGTACTTTTTTCTATTTTTAGAAATTATCCTTGTTTCTACCACATAGTTATATTTTATATAATGCTGCTTATCTTTAAGCTTCTCTCCTTCCTGTTTTTTGATAATCTCAATATTTCATCCAACTTCCTTTGTTTTCTCCTTTCTCTCAATGTACTTACTTTATCTTCATATATTTGTTTTGTGTTTCAGTCATAATTCCCGTTCTATATGACCAAACCACTTCAACACACTGTGTTCAATCCATATTTACTTAGCATTCTTTCTTTGTACTATTCTTCTTGTTTTACCACACACACTAATCTCCCATACCTGCTCCATTTAACTATATAGCTTTTAACACACCCAGTTCTCATTTCTGTATATCAAAATAGGCAGAAGCACATTTTTAAACACAATTTGTACTATTTTCAACAGATTCCTCATAACAGACCACTACTGTCTTTCTACCATTATTTGGGCATGTTAAAATGTCCTCATTCATGTTCCTATGTTAAATGTACTACCAAGGTACACTGCTTGCTCTAGTTCACGGGTGTCAAACTCGCAGCATCAGGTTGCTGTCACATGATATTTCAGCTGGGGTGGGCATGGTCTGCATGTGATGTATTCGGACTGTGGGCCACCAATTTAACCCCCCTGCTCTACTTTATACAATTAATATATGACTTGCAATCATTTACTCCATTTTCCTTGTGAAGTATGACTTCTGTAAGTCTTTGATGCATTATTTTTCAGACCCATAATCCCTGGTGCATCATTCAATTTATCTAAACATTCTGTGCAAATTATTTAGATTCTCAGTCAACAACATAGCATTATGTGTACAGAAAAATATCTGCATTTACATCTTTAGCCAACATATTTCTATGGATTTCTATTTTCTTATGCATGCACATAAGTACTTCATTCTTCTTTAATATTTATTGAATGTATTTATTTAGAAATGTATTATTAATAAATGTATTATTATTATTTATAAATGTATTATTAATAACATTTTCATCCTTTTCATTCATAAATACTTTCACTTCCCTGCATGTATTTGTCATATCTAGTTCATACAATCAAGCCATCTTTAATAGGCTCCATGATCTTCTTCCCTTTCTCTTACTTTCAGAAACATACAACTTTCCTTTCCTTTCCCGTTCTTTTTATCATACATATCTCTTACATTCTAAGAAGCAATCTCCTGTATGCAGTAACAATAGCATAGATACTGACTTCTACCCCAATTGTGTTTTGGTCAATTAAGTTTTACCATAATAATTTTTAGCAAGATAGCATAAACTAGATCACCTATTTTAGTCAGCCTATGCATCATGCAGTATTCCTTGTTGATAATGGTTAGGGCATAGTTGGCATACTTTGGCCAGTAGGATATTATTGGAGCCAACAACTAAATACATGTCTGTGGAGATTTTCAAACATCTAGATCATGGTTGTTCCAGAGATGCTTTTCAAGAGGCCACTGGACTTTCTTGTTTTTTTCCTTGAAGATTTCTTGGATGAGAAGTGAAATGTCTTCAAAGGAAAAACCAAGAAAGTCCAGTGGCCTTTTGAAAAGCACCTTTGGAATGACTAAATATAGAAATCAGTTATACATATGTATAGTATCTGGGCTTCCTTGTCATAATTTAAAAATAAAAGCAAATACAGAAGGTTAAAGATATTACTGTTTTTGGGAATGGGATGAGGGCTTTATTCTTTCTTTGCTGTCCTTTTTAATTTAGAATTATGGTCTTGTCTCTTTTCTTTCCATTGGTAGCTTTCCCTCCAGATGATAGAAACAGTCAATAAAGAACAAGTGTAACAAGCCTTCCTACCACTATTTTGATACTTAAATCCCTATATAGTACATCAACCACAAAAGCTTAAAGGGGATTGCATTTAATATCTGGCTTGACCCTATGTTCTCCTATTCTCAGACAAAACCCCTCTCCTGGGCACCAAACACGTTTTATATAAGGGGATCCCTACAGCTGTAGTGTTCAAGTGAACAAACCTCCAGCACAGAATAAAGCAAATTCAGTTCCTTTGAACAAGAAACAGTATCTAGTGATGAGTTTGGTTTCCAGAAAACACAACTTGGATGCAGGTGCTGAGACCTTGGCATTGTATGCTCAGCTTACTAGAGTCAAAACAATGATAATGGCTTTCTACTAAGAAGGAAGCAGTATCTGTCCTTTAAATAGTTCTGTGATTATGTATATGCTCGACAGAATTTTTTCTGATCAGTAAACGGTAAAACTAGGCTATGAGAAGTTTCTGTTCAACCCAGAATATGAGGCAGTCATAATTCTGATAACTGCAAGATGCACTATATTAATCTATGTGGTTTGAAACACCAAACCAGAATTTCACAGGCAAGTACAAACCAAAAAGGAAAAAAAAAGAAAAATGAGTACCTCTCTTGCATAAAACTTGTGCAGTTTGGTATCACACATTTTTCCTCTTTGTTACATTTGTATTTATTTATGTTATTGTTTAGTCCAGTGGTAGTCAACCTGGTCCCTATCGCCACTAGTGGGTGTTTCAGCTTTCATGGTGGGCAGTAGGGGTTTGCTGCTTTATAAATTTTATAAAGTAAAGTTACTTCCCTACTTTATAAATCACCATTACTGTGGAACTGGTGGTCAGTTAGAAAATTTTAATAGTACCAGAAATACAAAAGTGGGTGGTAGGTATAAAAAGGTTGACTACCCCTGGTTTAGTCACTAAGTCGTGTCTGACTCTATGTAAGCCCATGGACCATAGCTCACCAGGCCCTCCATCCTCCATTGTCTCCAGGAGTTTGCCAAATTCATGTCCATTGCCTTGATGACACCATCTAATCATCTTATCCTCTGCTGAGCCCCTTCTCCTTTTGCCTTCAATATTTCTCAACCTCTCAAGGTCTTTTCCAATGAGTCCTCTCTTCTCATTTGGTAGCCAAAGCATTTGAGCTTCAACTTTAGTATCTGTCCTCCCAAAGAGCAGTAAGAGTTGATTTCCTTTACAATTGACTGATTCTTGATCCCTTTTCAGTCTAAGGGACTCTCAAGAGTCTTCTCCAACACCACAATTTGAAAGTATTATTTATTTATGTCCCCTCTTTATTAGTTTAAGGCAACAAATATATCTCACATACCTTCCTCCTCCTATTTTCTGCAGTGCAAGTGCCATGGAGTTCTCCATAAGATGTCCAGCCAGGAATTGGCAACATCTTACATTAGATACAGAAAAAAATGATGTTGGGGAAAATATTTCATTAAGTTAGAAATTTCTCACTGTACTTTTGATAGTGTAGGCAGGGTTTCCTTAATCAAGAAGCATTTGATAATTTCTTATTGTTTATACTTTGTTCACTTTTGCCACTCTAAATCATGAAATTAAGTAAAAAAGTAAGGAAATAATCGAATGTGTTCTAATCATACAGGATGACAGATGCAATCAAACAGAATGGCAAAAACCTTTAGGTGGAGGAGTATCGAATGAGAAAGGTAAGGCCTTTTTACCCATTTCACTGTCAAGTGACTCGGGCAGCTTTTTACCCATTGTCACTGGGAATTGCCAGATAGAACATTTCAGGAATAATCACTTTGTACCCTGGGCCATCAAAATTATAATGTGTCCACATGTTTTTAAAGCCACAGTAATTTCCCTGGAGACAGCTCCAAGGAAGAATGGGGTAGAGATAGAAGGGAGTCGGCAAGGTTTTTCTCGTCTTTCTTGCCTTAATTCTCCAGGGAGGTACGGAGAAAGGGCTTGACTTGGGGAATGTAAGATTTCCTCTCCTTCCACTCAGTTCAGCATCTGTGGAAACTTACATTAAAAAAAAACCCTTTTACGTTCACAAACATTGTGGTTGCGAAATACACTAGACTATGGTTAATTGAACTATAGTTTACTGAATTAATCCAATTGCCTGAGTTTACACAACAACTTGAAGCCTAAAATAAATACAGAGGCTGGATTTACACAACATATCAAGGCAAGCCACAGCTATCTAATTTTAAATGCACTGTGTCATTCAGTAATAGTTAAAATGATCCTGGAATTAGATTACATCAAATCGCAAGTTTGTGCTTGTGGAATATATTTATGCCTATTGGCCTAAAGCAAAACATGGAACTTCCTCTAGCTCTTCATGTCAAAAATAATTTTCTGTTTTGCTTTGATTCATATAAAGTATTATGCCAACCTTTTTAAATGGATCCTTCAGAATTTGAGAACATGTCTATAATAATAAAATTGGTTTCCACTATGGGTATGTCCAGTCAAAAAATTACAGTTGAGAAGGCTAGTCCCATAGACTTTGCTGAGGTTCTCTATTATTTTAAGTTACTATTTTTTTTTCTGAGCAGGCTTCAAAATAAAGCACTGGGCCTCAATCACTCACAATTATGTTCTAGAAATGCCTCTGGGGTCTATGGAGGGGCGGGGGACCAAAGCTTTGTTGGAAATACAGGTTATGCTTAGAAATTTGTGCTTTCCTTTGAACTAATTAAGCTTTTTAAATATAATATTAGGTGAGGCACAAAAGAAAGTGTCCATGAGCTGTGCTCATTGGCTTCATGTTGTGCACACATTGAGTCATTGAGTCATTAAGTACAGGCAGGTTGCAGATCTCAGTGTCTGTTTTTTTCAAACTACATTAAGCTAAAATGAAGTGTATCATAATAGCATTTAGGGCAATCAATGGCTATAACCAGTTTTCAGAGAATCTTCCAACCCTCAGGTCCAGCTTTTCTAGAAGCACTCTGTGCTGCAGTGGATACTGCACTGAGGAAACCCTGGGTGCCAATTTCTGAAGAAGCAAAAACGCATTTTGCTAGCACTAAGATGACATGTTGCATATATGTTCGAGAGAAGCAATAGCAGGCCACTAGTTTTAAAACTTGAGTTCATTCAAGATTCAGATTGTAGAGAGCTGACAGTTTCTTGAGGTTGTTTTTTTTTTGGTTGGTGTTAATTAAATCAGGCCACATGCTTGCTCAACCATTAATTGTAGCACGCAGGAATCTCAAATAGGTCAGTTCAGCACATGCCACATACATAGCAATTACCAAAGGGAATTGTCAAGGATAAGACTAGCATAGACTATAAAACAGGTTTTGTAAGCAAACAGATTTGTACTATTTTTAAATGTTAGGAACTCTTCAAAATATTTCTTACCATGGATTAGTAACAAAGTTCTTTCTTGAACTGTTAATAAAGCCACTCCATATACTGGATTTTAATCACCCAAGATGCCTCCATATCTTTCTTGCTGCAGATTTAGCATAGCATAAACTGTCATTCAGAAGTGTGAAATATTAATTTCAGTTAGGAGATATATGTAGATATAAAAGTAGAAAATGGTGAAAAGTAAATAGTATGAGTGATGTTATAAGGTAGCGATGTCGAACTCAAGGCCCGGGGGCCGGATCTGGTCCACGGATGACTTAGATCTGGCTCTTGAGGCTACCCTGGAAACAGTGCCAGACAGGCCCATGGTGCCTCTGCCAGCGAAAATGGAGCTTGAGAGGGCCCATTCCGAGCTCTGTTTTTCCTGGCACAGGGTTGCAGGAGGCCATCACAGGCAAAAACGGAGCTCAGGAGCCCATTTTTGCTGGCAGAGCACTCTGGCCATCACAGGCACCCCCTACACAAGTGACATTGAGCTGGCCATGCCCACCCTGGCCACGCCCACTCTTGGCTCCCTCAGGTCAAACACAACCCTGATGTGGCCAGATATTAAATGCAATCCACTTTAAGCTTTTGTGGTCAATGTACAACATGGAAATTTAAGTATCAAAATAGTGGTAGGAAATTGAGTTGAGTGACACCCCTGTTATAAGGTCTAATATATTGCAGCAAGTGAACTGACATGAGTATAAGGCAGGTATCCAGATTTGTTGAACATTTTAATTTTTGTGATTCTATCTACAAATGCACAAGTTTTATCTGAGAGCTGTAGGTGACAGGAAGTTATTTTTTTTCACTTTTTAAAATCTGCAGGTGGCCACACCTGGAAATGTGGAAACCTGTTTTACATTTCCTAATTTAAGAATGTGATTTTAAATGTATGTGCAGCATGTAGAGCCAGAATAAATGTAGCTCAATTATGATATTCATTTTTAGTCTTTTAATTATAGGCTGAGCTTTGCATCTATATTCAGATAGATATAGTGATCAGTCCATTTCTTGGATAAGATGTTGTCTGTCAAGTACATGAACCTAGTATATGAATTACAGTTCAAACCTTGAACTGTAATACATCGTAATTGAGTCAGGAATTACAGTTGTAAGCCATGATAGTTATTAAACAGGTCACCATATGACTGGACCTATTTTTATAATCTTTTTTACAGTGATTGTTAAGTGATCATGGCAATCATAAAGGGGACAGGATGGTTATTAAGTGAACATTGTGATCTTTAAGCAAATTTATGGTCTGCAATGGGCATTTTTTTTGCCGGAAATCAGAAGTAAACACCAATTTCCAGCAAAAACATTAAAATGGTGAGATGCTGCAAACAGTCATAAATGCAAGCTGGTTACCAAGCACTCAAAATGTGACTAGGGGTTGCTTCAAAGCTTTAAATCTGGGTCCTAAGTAGCTCTGAGAAGGTCCATCATAACTTCAAATTATACACTATATTGCCAAACGTATTCGCTTACAACTGCTTCTGATTATTTGGATGGGTGAGTGAATACTTTTGGCAATATAGTGTATGTGCTGTAAGTTAGGTTCATGTTAATACTGAAGTAGATATTGATGATGTTTTGGTAAAATTTCTCAGTTCAACTGATTAAGTGCCACTGGTATGCATCAGATTCACAAGAAGCATTGGGAATAAAATTAAAAGCACCAAATGCTAGAAAGCAATACATTTGCTAAGCACCATATGTTCTATCTTCTGCAGGTTACCCACTGAATGTGACCATCAACAATTGGGGTTATTCAAATGCCCTCTTTCTAAACTGGGAATATCCCTTGGGAGGTACCCAGAGCTTCTCATTAGCTCTTTATGACTTGGACACAAATATTCTACTGCAGAATGGATCATCTACACTCAATACCACCAGCTTCAGCTTCCAAGGTTTGCTTCCAGGGACACAATATATGATCAAAATCACTGCATTGCTTGCATGTGCACAGAATTCGAGTAGAAGAATCACTGGGCAGACAGGTAAGAGATAAGTTTAGAGCTTGGAATCATTTTCAGCAAATTTGAATTTTGATATATGGTGATTGTCCTCTTCCACTTCGATTCATGCATTCAATTTTTGTCATGTCTTCAAGCCACAATGTCCAAAACTAATCTCACAAAATAAAACCATACAAGTTCTGGGCACATCCTTGCATGAATAGTAGTATCTAAGTCAACTGATAACAATATACTTTCTAGCAGATGGCGAGCAGTAGTTCAAAACTTCAAGATATACAGTATGTGTAAAGGTCATTATTCCATAATCCAGCTGTTAATGTTTCATTAAAAAATACTGAATTTGGAAGAGAAAAATGATAGGTTGTTTTTGGATTATAACGCTGTAGACCTCATTCTGTTTTTTAAATGCTGTATTTCAATACAGTTATATACATTGGAATAAATGTCACATTCAAATTCATTTTTACTGTCTGTTACATGATTTTTCATGTAGGTAATAATGAATGCATTCCTTCAAATCTGAATAGGGTGGCATCTTACACAACAAAATGCTAGTTGTTTTCTCTTTTTAGCCTGTAATTTGTATTTTCAAGTGCATATGGAAATAAACAAAGGCACTCTGATATGTAGTCTATCCATGTGACTTGCACAGAAGACAGATGTAATTGTGCGACGATAATGCCAGAATCTGCAGTATGTTGGCAGCAATGTCAGCTCAGCATTATTTTGCAACAGGCTGCTCTTACTATGGCAGTGCCATAAGCACTGCAACATTCTGACATTGTCTTTGTAGACATAGGAAACTCAGAAGCCACTCATTGCAGATGTAGTTTACAATTTTCTGTTGGCCCATCTGAAGTGGGTGATTATGTTCAATTATATACAACATTTTGTTTTGCATAGAAAGGCTTTTTAGGCTTATGATAATCTTAGAAAGGTGCATGTGCCTATCAGCAGAAACCTGCTTAGTGGAGGGCTTTTTTGGGGGGAGGGGGGATAAATCCTATTTTAGTGCAATTCAGAACTTTCATTATCAAGTTGCAGATATATATATGCCTATTTGCATATAATTCCTTGCATGTTGGGAATTAGGTTGGGAATTTCCTTGTCTAATCATGAAAGCAACAAAAGAATCACTTTTCACAATAATTATGCTTGAACTTTCATTGCCCACCTTTTTTGTTTATTGCCAAACATGCAAAATCAACACCGTGGTAACATTTGGGAGGATGTTAAGATGAGGGCTTCAGGTATGATCAGTGAAACTGTAACATCTTGTTATGGATGCTTTCTCTCATTGACAACTTTTTTTCAACTTATATTTTATTTAAGTACCATTACCTGTGCGGGATGTTATCTTGAGTCATGAAAGTCCCTCAGTATTATTGGC